TATGGCCTCCGGAAACAGCGTGTCCTCCTCCAATATGGCCTCCAGAAACAGCGTGTCCACCTCCAAACTGGCCTCCGGAAACAGAGTGTCCTCCTCCAATTTGGCCTCCGGAAACAGCGTGTCCTCCTCCAATATGGCCTCCAGAAACAGCGTGTCCACCTCCAAACTGGCCTCCGGAAACAGCGAGACCTCCTCCAATATGGCCTCTAGAAACAGCGTGTCCACCTCCAAACTGGCCTCCGGAAAGAGAGTGTCCTCCTCCAATTTGGCCTCCGGAAACAGCGTGTCCACTTCCAATATCACCAGAAAGAGCGTGTCCAACTGCTACATGGCCTCCAGAAACAGTATGTCCTCCTGCAATGTGGCCTGCAGGAACAGCATGTTCACCTCCGATTTGACCTCCGGAGGCGGCATATGCACTTGCAATAGAGCCTCCTGCTACCTGGCCTCCTAAAACAGCGTGTCCACCCCCAATACCTCCAGTAAGAGTGTGTCCAGCTGCTACATGGCCTCCACCTCCAGTCTGGCCTGCAGCAACAGCATGTCCACCATCATACTGGCCTCCAGAAATAGCGTGTCCTCCTCCAACATGGCCTCCAGAAATAACTTGTCCTCCTCCAACATGGCCTCCAGAAATAGCGTGTCCTCCTCCAACATGGCCTCCAGAAATAGCGTGTCCTACTCCAACACCACCAGTAAGAGCATGTCCACCTCCAAACTGGCCTCCAGAAACAGCGTGTCCTCCTCCACTATGGCCTCCAGAAATAGCGTGTCCTCCTCCAATGTGGCCTCCAGAAACAGCGTGTCCACCTCCAATACCACCAGAAAGAGCGTGTCCAACTGCTACATGGCCTCCAGAAAGAGCGTGAAGACTGTGCTCCTCGCCAGCAGGAACCTCACTGAAATGTCCTCCACCAACGGGTCCGCTGTATTCACTGCCGACGATTATATCACCTTCGTGGTCTTCCTCAGAAGATTCATGGTCACTTGCACCACCAAATCCTCCAGCATGTGCACTATTAAAGGCTCCGGAAGCAGAGTGGCTGCCTTTAATGTCGTCGTCATGACCAAAATCGAAAGATCCCTTGATTATGAGCGCTGCCTCATCTGGCCCAATCCCATCAAGTGCGCTGTGTTGGGCACCAGGTCCACTGTAGCGAACGTCAACTGCTCCTGGGATTACAGGCTGGCTACCAACGGGACCTCCACTTGCGAATCCGCTAGCGTGAACTTGCCCACCGACATGTCCTACAACAGGACTCTGGTGGACCGCGCTTCCTACATGTCCTCCTACAGGAATGGTAGGGCCATGTCCAGTTACTGGAGGTCCGCCATGATGAATTCCAGCGGCCCCAACGACGCCATGTCCTCCAGTAGCGGGCGTGAGGTACCCCGTACTGACGGTGCCTGAAGGACCATGACCGCCACCGAACGCAGCTCCTCCGCCGAAGGATCTTCCCGCATTCCCATGACCTCCGCCAAGCTTCGCTGAGCTGCAGGAAGCCAGGAGAGTCGCTGTAGTCACTAAAAGGAGATTCTGAAATGGGAGAGAGATGATACAGTCATGTAATCACTTCCTTGATCGATTAACACTGAGAAATAGTTTATAAATGTCCAATCGCTCATCTCCCTGTAAGAAATACGCCCCCATTCCTTCTCAACAGTTAACAAAGATAAGATTTCCTCCTCAGCTCAGGTCTTTCCCGTCCTCACCATGTCAGAGGCGTGAGTTAACTCCCTGTTGCACGTCAGTCCTTCAGCTTTTATAGTGACTTCCTCCCACCGCGTGCCCCATGACGTAGTGTCTTCGGTGATGTTAAGTGGGGGAAATTTATTCATTGGTTCTTTAGGGCCGCGTTGATGACCTCTTTTCGATAAAGTCACGCTTCAGATGTTCGATTACGATGATGCGAAGAAGTGACATAAATATTAATAAGATCAAAGTTAGATTCATTGATCTGTTTTCTTTCTTTCTTCTCCAGTTGTCAACTCTAATTGTGAACTTTGGCTGTCCTGTATAGCTAATCATATATTCATAAAAAATACCAATCATTAATCAATATAAGGATATTAAATATGACTAGTATTCAAACAGTATGAGCTGTGAATTTTGCAGTTCTTCAATACCGATTCCTTGATGAATATTGAGTGCAAAATTAATATAAACATATGTTTTCTTCTTCTGATTTTCATAAACTGAAAGGAGGAAGATCAATATCCCTGCAAATTCCAGCATATGTTTTCTTTTTTTATTATCAAAATAACCCAGGTAGGAATAAAATAATTTTACTGCAAATTCTATTTTCTTTTCTTTTTTTTCAAGTCGCGTCATCCTGAAATAAGCCTGGTCTAAAAGGGCAAAATCCATGACTGGCACGTTCCCCGTTTCCTTTTCCCAACGATGTCTTAAAACAGTGTCATTCTGCGCCGTAAACCTCATTTGGCTACCGGGTATGACCGCGCCCTCTGTTGTTTCAGCATACGACACCGTGCCACGCTTTCCTCACGCCCTCTGTGCCCTCTCTCTCCTCTCTGTCTATCTTCTTGTCTGTTTGTCTGTATGTCTGTCTGCACCCCCCTCTCTCTTTCTTCTTCTCTTCCTCCTCTCTCTCTCTCTTTCTCTCTTTCTCTCTCTCTTTCTCCTCACTCTTATTTCTGCTTCTCATCGATTAAGCAACCTCCACCGTATGGTAAGCCTTCGCTTTTACACTTCCTAAAACCCTTCATATATAACTGTTTTGATTATCCATGTTTATTTTTTTTGCTTTCCAGATCATTTCGATTTATTTTCGTCGTGTAACAGCTCTAGTTTTTTTTCAAATTTTCCTTATTTTTTTCTGCCATTTATTATATTTTTTCCCCCTACCCCTGTTTCTAACTCGATCTGTTTTTCTTCCTCATCAGTATATCAGTTAAAAAAGTGGAGGAAAAAAATGATAATCTCTTAGTTTCCTGTTACTATTATTTTCTTTCTTGCTTTTTTCTTATTCGCTTCCGACATCACCCATTTTTTTTTATTCATCTGTTTACATGATCTTGTTCTTACCTTGTCGGTGAATGTAAGTTCTGATTCACCTCACGCCCTAACCTCTGCGAAATTATCATTATCGTCTCTTCGATTCGCACGCTCAGTGTTGCGTCATTCCTTACACTTGACACCTGGCAATGGGCGAGTCTCTCTTCTTGTGTTTGTTATTTTTTGTCCGATAATTCATTTGTGTTTAATGATGATAATGATGATGATGATGGTGATAGTAATGATAAAGATAATAGTAATGATAAGATAATGGTAATGATAATAATGAAAATAATGATAATGCTAACAATAATGATAATAATAATGATATGGGTTATAATAATAATAACAATAATAATAATAATAATAATAATAATAATAATAATGATATTGATAATGACGATAAAAAATAATAATAATGATAATGATGATAAAATGATAATAATAATGATAATGATAGTAATAATAACAATAACAATAGTAACAATACTAATACTAATAATAGTAATATTAATAATAATGATAATAACAATAATAATGATAATCATAATAGTAATGGTGAGAGTAATGGAAATTATCATAATAAACATATTACATTAGGATATGATGTGTGCGCTTTGATTAACAATTTACAGGTATTATCATTTATGATTTTCCTAGTATATATTTTGTGAAGATGTATTATTAGCTGACAACAAAATTCGAAATACATTTACTCTGAATCTGTTAAATCATTTTTTCAGTCTGCTCATCACTGTGTCATAAAGATTATACGTATTTTGATTAATTTTGTCAACTGAAAAATTAAACACTTTCAGCCCCACAGCCTCACGTTCACAATATTACAGTACATGATATTTTTTTAAAACTGGTGCAATAGGCATTCGTCATTTCGGTGTTGTAAGGTCACTTTAAAACCTGTTGTGCAGCTGTTTGGAATACGTGTGTACAAGTTTCATTAGTATATACATTATTTCAAATGTATCTGTCGTGTTCATTTTTTTTTTGCGAATGTTTTGATCGGATTTTAATTTTTATGCAAATGATACTGTATTAACTTTGTAATTCTTTTTCTTTATTACCATCTTCATTTTGGAAATTTTGAATGTATATTTATAACTATTGTCAACAGCAGCATTATTATTTCTATTGTTATTGTTATCATCGCCGCTGTTGTTGTTGTTATTGTAACCGTTATCGTCAGTCCTTATTTTAATCGTTGAATATTATTTTAGTTATCATTTCCATTTCCTTTTACTGATTTTAGTTGCATGTATATTATATTTTGATACTTTTTTTCTTATCATCTGCCTCGTTTTTATCGCTATCAACATATTTCCTATTGTTCCAGTGTTTTCTTATTATTATTATCACCAACGCCATGATAAATATTATTATAATCATCACAATTATTACTAAAAATATTTTCAAATCTTACCATCATTAGCTATTAGTCATTACTGTTGCTAATATGAATATATGTGCACAAATGATTATTCTTTCCGTGGTCAGTATTATAATTTGTGTTTAAATAGTGCTACACTTATAGATTCATAAATATTTGTTAGAGAAGAAGAAGAAGAAGAAGAAGAAATAGAGAGAGAGAGAGAGAGAGAGAGAGAGAGAGAGAGAGAGAGAGAGAGAGAGAGAGAGAGAGAGAGAGAGAGAGAGAGAGAGAGAGAGAGAGAGAGAGAGAAGATGGAGAAGGAGAAGAAGAAAGAGAAGAAGAAGAAGAAGAAGAAGAAGAAGAAGAGAGAGAAAGAGAGAGAGAGAGAGAGAGAGAGAGAGAGAGAGAGAGAGAGAGGGGGGGGGGGGGGCGAAAGAATCACAAAGACAGAGAAAACGGTATCGAGAATTCACCTTTCCAAATGTTAAACATTTCTATTCTATTCTATTACAGAAGCCTTCATAATTTACAGTTACCCAGTGTTCTTTAATGCCCTCGACGATCTGTTTCACTGGGAGCCTGGTACAGCGTGTCGAGATCCTGAACAATAACTTCCCACTCAGCTTCGTATTTCAAAGAAGATGCGATTCATAGTAAATCCTCTTTTATGTTTTGGGTGTTTTCTTTGATAAGCTAGATGCCAAACACTCTTTTAGCTTATAGTTGCGTTATATTGGTGTATAAGGAATAGTAACTGTGACGAATGCGCATCACTGTTACACTATTTAGGGTTTACAATTATGTTATCTTAATGTATGAAGGTTTTTTTACTGTGTGGTTTATGACTGAGGATTGCTTACTGTTAACTTTACAGCATATTCTAAATGTGGATTTGTTTGTAATTGGAGTGTTTTCATATGTTAAGAAAATATGATGCAAGCAAACTAGGAAATATTACGAAAATATGGTTATATTATCTTATTAAAAAGGAAAGAAAAGAAAAATACTCTATGCCATTTTTGGTAGGTTAAGCTGAAACGTTAAATTGAGTGTATTACATCCACCCATAGGAATTATATTGATGATGATCTTAATTCTTAATGAAACAATAGTTACAGAAATAATGTTGAAATCATTGTGATTATGATACTATTGGAAAGTTAATAAGAGATACTCATTATTACCTGCTCTCGTAAGCAATTAAAAGAAAAAAGAAAAAAAAAATCATGATGAAAATGGTGATGTAATATTACGGTCAATAAAGATCAAAGTACTAATGAAAATTATTTTAATAAAAACAGTAATGACGATGAATTATAGTATTTAAGAAAGATAAAAATGACGATGATAATAATAACAATAATAATAATGAAAAAAGAAAAAAAAAGAAAGATGTGTAAAATTGTTAAGTGACTTGAACGGCACTGATCTATGGAGCGGAACTCTGGACAATAAAGAAAAATAATGAGCATATATGGGAAGGGAAGAAATACAAACTGTTTTGACGTATTTTTGATTGATAAAAATATGAAATTACGAAAAGGTGATTTCTGAATATTTCCCTCTACATGGAGTGACCAGTGATTTTACCTCGTAAGTGATGTCTCCAGTTAGAACTCGCTTCTCTCTCTCTCTCTCTCTCTCTCTCTCCCTCTCTCTCTCTCTCTCTCTCTCTCTCTCTCTCTCTCTCTCTCTCTCTCCTCTCTCTCTCTCTCTCTCTCTCCCCCCCCCCCCTCTCTCTCTCTCTCTCTCTCTCTCTCTCTCTCTCTCTCTCTCTCTCTATCTCTCTCTCCCTCCCTCCCTCTCTCTCTCTCTCTCTCTCTCTCTCTCTCTCTCTCTCTCTCTCTGTCTCTGTCTCTCTCCCTCTCTCTCCCTCTCTGCCTCCCTCTCTCTCTCTCTCTCTCTCTCTCTCTCTCTCTCTCTCTCTCTCTCTCTCTCTCTCTCTCCCTCTCTCTCTCTCTCTCTCTCTCTATCTCTCTCTCTCTCCCTCTCTCTCCCTCCCTCCTCCCTCCCTCCCTCTCTCTCTCTCTCTCTCTTTCTTTCTCTCTCTCTCTCTCATCTTTTTTATCTGTTTAAGGTATATATATATTCGTACCAATTTCCGTACATCGTGACAAGTCGTAGTTTGTCGCAACCGGGATTCTTGCATTCCTCTGCTGAATGATGCAGCTGAATCCCTTGCAAATGATCTCGATAATGCATCTCGATACTATTGATGATCTTTTTGCAACCGGCCAGTTCTCAACATTAATATTGCTATTATCATTACCATTATCATCTTTGTTATCATCCGCATTCTAATGATGTTATTATTATTTTCTTGCTGCTCCTCCTCCTCATTAACCGCGTTATAATAATCATCATGATAATCATCCTAATTCTTATAATTATGATCAGTATCATAATCCTCTTCTTCATTATCATCACCATTCTTGT